TTGAGCATCCTTCCGGATGAATCCAAAATTGTCATTGGCCGCTTGAGGGGTTGATCTGTGTAGACCACAACCGGATGTGCCAAGAAGTAAGGCTTCAACTTCTTGACTGCCATGGAAGAGCAAGGCCAAATTTTTCAACGTGGGGTACCGTAGCTCAGCATTTCGAAGAACGTGGCTAATGAAATATACCGGGAGCTGACTCCCGTCTCTCTCAGCAAGGAAAACAACACCGAGGGCATGGTCTGAGACGGCTAATTAAGTACATGTACAGCACCTCCTGTGGCAGTGGGCTAACAAGCCTTGGTAATGAGTGCAAGTGTTTTTTCAACTTCTGAAAGGCCGCCTTAGCATCCTCCCCCCATTCAAATCTAGTCTTCTTTTTTATTGTTTGGAAGAAATAGAGGCACTTATCACCTGACCGGCTGAGGAATCTCCCTAATGCCGCTAGACAACCTGTTAACTTCTGAACTTCTTTGACAGTGCGGGGTGATTTCATGTCAATGACCGCCTGTATCTTCTCTGGGTTGGCCTCTATCCCCCTTTGATCAATCAGAAATCTGCGGAACTTTCTAGCCTCAACACCAAAGACACACTTCTTGGGATTGAGCATGACCTTGTGCCGCCTGAGGGTGGTGAAGGTTTCTCGGAGGTCAGCAAGGTGATCCGTCTGTAGCTTGGATTTGACTATCATATCATCAATGTACGCCTCTACATTCCTCCCAATTTGATTAATGAAGACCGTATTAATCATTCGTTGGAAGGTAGCAGGCGCGATTTTCAACCCAAACGGCATCACAGTATAACAAAATAACCCTTGATCAATAACGAATGCCATCTTCTCTTGATCTTTTTTCCACAAGGGTATCTGATAAAAGCCTGAGTAGGCGTCCATAAAGCTCAACAAGGCATGACCGGCTGTAGAGTCGGCCATACTGTCGATCTTTGGAAGGGGATAATTACCCTTCGGACATGCCTTGTTCAAATTTGTGTAGTCGACACACATCCGCCAGGTGCCATTCGGCTTTTTTACAAGAACAATATTTGCAACCCAATCCAAGTAACGTTGTCGAATGAACCCAGCATCCAACAGCTTCTTTAGTTCGGCGATTGCCGCCTGAATTCTTTTCTCACCGTGGTTCCTTTTTATTTTGCCTAACCGACTTTTTTTTGGGATCCACGACAAGTTTATGAACAACAAGATCTGGGCTGACGCCTGGCATCTCTTCTACTTCAATGGCAAAGATGTCTTTGAATTCTTTCAATAGATTGTGCAAGTCTGCACCCAACCTTGTAAATGCAATCGTCCTAACCCTTAACAGTTCGATCCGGACGTGTGTCGTCCAGAACAATATCAATGTGCTCACCAGCCGGCTAGGGACGGAGTTTGTCTGACCGTTCCCCAGTCAGTGATTGCTATTGCTTCTCTTTTTTCACAGCCACCAACTGGTCGACCTTTCTCTTTTTGCCGACTGCTATTGGGGCAAGCGCGGCTTCCTTGACCTCATCAAGGTCTATAGGTTCTTCACCTTGGCCAGATACGGCCACAGTAGGCTTGACGTCTGAGAGGTAACACTCTCTTGCCGTCTTCTGATCCCCGTTCAAGGAACCTACAGACCCGTCATCCTTTTAAAATTTCAGGAGCATAAGGGATGTAATGATGACGGCCTTGGATTTATTCAGTGTTGGACGACCCAATATCATATTATAGGCGGTCAACTCCTCAATGACCAAGAACCGGACTACCATGTGGCGTCCTTCTCCCTTCTCCCCTAACCGGATGAGTAAGTCAATCCTCCCTACCGGATGCACTACTCCACCCCCAAAATCAACTAAGGGGTGAGATACTTTGTGCATACTGCTGGGCTTGTACTTGAGCTTTGCCAAGCACTTATGTCTGATCAGGTCAGACAAGCTCCCGGTGTCAATAAGGATCCGACCTACCTTCTGGTTGACCACTTTGCATTCAATGACTATGAGGTCATCATGCGGCCGCCTGACCTTGCCCCTGTCCTTCTCAATGATGATGACCTCAGGAAAGGTGTCTTTTGACGCCTGTCCCTCATCAACTGAGTTGACATCCAGCCGTTTGATATAGTCTTTGGTGCCCCGGATGGTTGGATCCTCTCCGACGAAGCCGCATACTATTGTATAGATCGACTCCTCATCAGTGTCCGAACTATTAACTGGTTGGGCCGCCTTTTTGGACGGTTGTCCATTGTTTGTCCTCAGGGTCACCTTGGACTTTAGAATGTAGGACTTCAGCACCCCTTTATCATCCAGACGGTCCAACAATCGTTTGAGGCTATAACAGTCGTAGCTGTCGTGGCCTATGTCCTCATGGAAATGACAATATTTGTTCTTGTTCCGATTTTTTACGGAACCTTTCATTGTAGCCGGTTTCTCAATAGTCACCCGGTCTTTGATCTCCATGAGAATGGAGTAGCATTCCTTGTTAAACTCGTACTTAGGAACGTACGGTTTAAACTCTTTTTCTTTCTTCTTTTTCTGAGATGGCTGCTCAGAGTCATCTGCCACCCAGACTTCTTTTCTCTTCTTGCTCTCTTCTTTTTTGGCTAGCTGAGCAGGCCGACTCTCTTTTTTATCAGACTTCTTAGGGTCCGACTGCTTACTGATGGCACAGAGTTCAGTCGCCTGTATATAGGCTTCCGCCTCCATCAGAGCTTCTTGGAGGGTAGCAACCTTCTTTCTGACGAGATTGAACTTAAAGGTCGACCCGTCATTCAGACCTTAAAGAAGTCTATGTAAGCCACTTCGTTAGAAAGCCCTTGAATCTGAATTCTCATCAGATTGAACCGCCTGACATAGGACCTTAGCCCTTCTCTATCTCCCTGCTGTATGGCACCCAAGTCGAGACTTGTTTTCTTAGCAGGGATGTTCATAGAGAAGTTAGAAGCAAACAAGTACACAAGCGTCTTGAAGCTATTGATGCAGCCGGCTAGCAGATTGTCAAACCATCGTTGGGTAATGCCCTGCAATATAGCCGGAAAGTATCGGCACCAGGTGGCATCATCCAACCCCTGTAAGTACATGAGGTTGGTGTAGGCCATCAGGTGATCTTCAAGGTTAGTGGTAACATCATAAGTACCCACCAACACATTCTTAACCTTGGCCGGCTGTGCCGCCTTGGTTATCTCCTTGGAAAACGCAGAAGGCTGTTCCCCAAGTTTGAGCAGACGAAGCTGCCAGTCTAAAGGTTGGACATTCTGTGCCGCCTAACCCCCAAAGAGAGTCGGCTGCATATAGCATGTATGGCTGCTGAGGCGCATATGGAGTCGAATGGATTATCTGAGGGCCAGTGTGAACGGACAAGCCGCCTGACTGACTCTCTCAGTTTTATTGCGAATTCCTCATTGAGGTATTCTGAAAGCTGTATGGGTAAGTCGACGTTGAAGCCGACTCAAACAGTTGTCAACATTTCTTCTGCTGGATTAACATCCGGGCATCAGAATAAGTCTTCTTTGATCCATCCGGCTGAACATGTCGGATGGCCTTCCTTTTCCCTATTTCAGGGAATCGGATCTTGGACAGATCAATCACGGGTCGGTTCCCCTCTTTTTGTTTAGGATGGAGTAGGCACACGATCCTTGACCGATTTTTTCTTCTCTGAGGGAGAAGATTTCTTGGCCGACTGACCCCTATTGGAGCCACCCATCTTCTTGTTGATCAAGTCCTTGATTTCCCCTTTAAAACTTGCCATGAATTTCATGAATTCGTCTCTAGTAATTAAGGCTGCACCTTCTGCCGCCTGGGGTTGTCCAGACGGCTGTCCGACTGTCTCACTTGGACCAACTTGCTCTTTGCCCCGTTCCCTTGTTTCCATGGGACGAGTGCGCCTGGTTCTGAGTGACCAGTCTGGGGCCACATAGGTTTCGACATCAAAGTCGTCACCACTGTCTTGGTTTGAATAGACCTCAACCTCGACCGTAGGTCGTTTCTCGTTAGCAGGCGGTACAGACTCATATGAAGCCATCTTAGAAGTACTCTCCCCAAAGACGGCGCCAAATTTTTCGGGGTTTTTTGTGTCCCTCGGAAGAGTTACAACACAAAGACTGGATTCCGAGCGCCTGTACTTGCAAAACACTAGAGATTCCGGTTGGGTGGAGTAAAAAGTGCAGAAAGTAAAGTATCTTCTTGAATTTCGAGATCTAACGTGTTCTCTGAGGGGAGAGGTAAATATCTGCAATTAATCATTGCTCAGTTTTCAGTGAATGTTTTTTAGAATAATCCTCCCCTGGTGGGAATATCTTCCTATTTACAGGTCTTGGAATTTGTGCCGCTTTTCTAGGTTACGGAAACCTAGGAATCGTGGGCTATCTCGGGAATTGGGCCTTGAAGGCCGTCTTTTTCCCAATCATTAGGGATGCCACGTGTCAGCAGAGGAGAGGTTAATTTTGAACCTCTCTAAGGGTGACACGTGTCACCATCTTATTGGGCCACGTGGCCTTGGGGTATTTTTACCCAAAACATCAACTTCAGTACTATCGCATGAGTTATTCTAAACTTGTTATTTATGAAAAATTCTTGACCCATAAATATCACAAGTTGATATTTACATAAATAATCTAGATTGATCATAAGCTAGATTATTTAAAATATACTTATAGTCCTTTAAAATTTGACACGTGTCGTTCTTATAATAAAAAAAATTTCCGCCTAATTACAGAATACTATTTATGGTAGTTAATTCTAAAGTCTATTGCAATATATTAATATGCAATCTAAATGAATCTTTTTAGTTACTAATAATAATCAATAATCAATATCATTTAATATATTAAATAATATATAGGCTATCTTGTACTAAATATGATGATATAAATAATAGAAATATTTTATATCATATAAATGATATTATTGATTTTAGTTAACAAAATAAGGCATTTGAGCTGTGTATAAAGTATAAAGCAAGATTATGAACAGTGATCTTATTAGATTAATACAATAGTAAATAATGTATATGCTATCATATATAACTAAATGTATGTATAACTAGATTAGTCTCATGTGATGCATGATCTGAACAAATAAAGTTTTCTAAATTTGTTTATTTTTTCATATTAAAATTAAAAATAACAAAAAATTCCAAATAAATACGTCAAATATTTAAAAAAAAAAAAAAAGAAAAATTAGGGATCATAGAAAAACTGAATGATGCAATGAAAGGGGTAGTACTTGAGGAGGAAGAAAACATATATTATATATTATTGTTAGAGAGAATATAATCTTTTTCGGAAATTGATAATAATAATAATATATCTGACTGGAATTTTAATAAAAAAAAATAATAAAAATCATAAAATGATGACATCATTTATAGTTTTGGAGGAAATTATTTTAATAATTGTATAACCATAGCAAACAAAAGAATTTATACAAAGTTTTTGGGTACTACTCCCTCCGTTCCTTATTTACATGCATACTTTTCATTTTACACGAGAATTAAGAAACTTAAAAGCCATGATTGGGAAGTACAAATATGCATGTGGGGTTAGAGAGAGAAAGAAAAGGTAGTTGGTAATTATTAAAGAGATGGAGAGAGAAAATGTTGTAAATAATGTCAAAAGTACAAAAAAAAAAATGACAATTCAAAAAAAAAAAGAGGGAATATTGTCAAAAAGTACATTCTTAAAATAAAAATAGATATAGGCATGTAATTTTGAAACCCCAAAAAAGTATGTAATTTTGAAACCCCAAAAAGGAAAGTAGGCATGTAAACAAGGGACGGATGGAGGACGGTAATATCCTCAACACTTCACCAATTCACATTGCATTCTAGAGTAAATCGTGTCATTGAAAATTGTAATCATCACAATGTGTTATTACACTTATTAGAATCGCCTTCGAATCATGCAACAACAATTCTGATGATTTGATAAACTGCTCACTTCTCCAAACTTGAACGCAAACTAAGTTTTCAATGTTCAAACCGAATCTTCCTTTGTCTACCATCTTCAGGAATTCCACCATAACTTAACCAAGTCGATGTCTTTTGAATACCATCAATACTACTCATACTAGTAATATATACTAAGCAAATCTTAATTCCTACTTACTATGTATGTACCATATCAGAAATTTTCTACTACTTTCTTCTTTTACTATAATCTGCACATAGTTAAAGATCATGTTCAAGCAGCCCGAAAACAGCTTAGACAGGAATCGTCTTCGATTTCTGACTCTTCTTCTTCAATATTGATCCCAGAGACATGATCTTCTTCAACTTCTGAACAACACTTTTCCCAAATCCACCTACTTTGTTCTTGGCAGCAGCAGCTTTCTCTTTCGCCTTCTGTTCTTCCTCTTCCTTAAACTGTTGGACAAACAGGTCTACAGAAGCACCAGTTTTCGATAATGCCACCATCAACTCCCCATAAACCTGATTCACTGCCCCCTTAAACTTGACTGAAACTTCCGCTTTAGTTCCCTTCAGAACCCCATTGAATAACCCAACTCCTGCTAACCCTTTCCTGTATGCATCACAAGCATTCAGTATAAACTCGGCGCTATCCTTGAAGTGTTCAGTAACCAGTTGCTCAAAGTTCTTTGGAGGCCTTCGAAGCACACAAAGCATTGTTTTGCAGCTTAGAACAAACACTTCTTCGCTGTATGCCAAAGATTTCTTCTCCCCGTAAGTTCGCCCTGCCCATCCCGCATTACCTGGCTCGTTGAAGTATGGCCTTTCATTGAGGACTAATGCTTGGATTGACAAGAGTAGCTGCAATAATTTTCCAATGATATCAAGTTAATATGAGCATTCCAATCTCCAAGCCTTTTCGTCGAATTAGAGCTAACAATCTAAATTACAATACTTTAACAAACCAAAAACATTGTGTAATAAGTAGTACAGTACTTTAACACACCAAAAAAAACACAAAAACTATGAACTTTGGCATATTAATCGATAGTGACCTCATGTTAAAAGTAATTGACCATAAAATGGACCCACTCGAACCAAAAATAAACCAAATGACCATCACTAAAACATACTAGTAACTCTAACCAAAATTGAACCAGCATCACTAAAACATGACCCGAACCAAAATTAAATTGTATGACTATCACTAAAACATGACCCGAACCAAAACTAAATTGCACGACCGTCACTAAAACATGACCAGAACCAAAATTAACTTGAACGACCATGACTAAAACATGACCGGAACCAAACAACAATCACACATTCACGTGACTTCGAGGGGATCCACGAGAACTCACGCTTAAACGAATCAAACAAGCCGATTTTCACATCAAGTAACTTTGTATCGGCAATAAAACTATCTTTCTAGTCAATTTTCGAGCAGGGTCAAGTCAAGAAAATAAACGAAAATTAAATTTTTTTATAATACTAATCAAACAACAGCTTATTTCTTATACTCATGATCAAAATTAAAACCGAAACATTTAAAAACAATCTTTAACGAACGGAAAGAGTAACACTTAAAATCATAATCAAAACCCAAAATTTCCAACTCAATCTTTATAACTAGAAATAACATAACTCTAATATCACACATTTAATTAAACTGATAATTTAAAAACAGAGGATTAAACTGATAATTCTAAAGAAAAGATTCAAACCTGAAGAATAGTAGATTTATTAGGATCCCATTTCTCACACTTTTTACCTGACCAAGTATTCAACAAACTAAGACAAACCCGGCCATTATTATACAAATTCGGGTTGATCCGATACCCGAATGACTGATAATGAACCAAAGGTGGTTTCGCCGGATAATCTACCGGAAAAGCAATATCAAAGAAGAACAACCCATCATGATAAGGAGTTCCACGAGCGCCGACAATTGCGGCCCGAAGAAGGTCCATCCGGGTTTCATAGGCCCGAACAAAAATGGTTTCGGGTAAGTCCTTTTTAAAAAGCTTCCATTCTTGCATTATCTTTTTCTGGGCTGTTGTTGGCATTGAGGGTGTTCTAGGGTGTTTCCCGGCGAAATGGTGGTCAGAAAGATTAGAAACTGCGTCGAATTGGGGGAATTTGTTGTCGGAAAGTGACGTCATGTTGGGGGTTGGGGGGGGGGGGAGGGAGAAGAAAGTGGAGTGGGAGAGTGTGTTTTTGATGTTTGTTATTTTTGGAGTTGAAAAAAGTTTTTAAGGAAGTAGTCAAAAGTATGGGAATGATTTAATAAAAATAGAGAGAAATTTTAAGGGGGGAAATGGGGGATTGTAGAATTTTCCAAAGGGTTTTAAACTCTTCAAACATTGAGAGATTTGCGGGAGATATTACTCGTATTAATATTATGGTTTTTAATATAGGATGTAGTACTTGTATATTTTTATCATTAACTGTTCGGATTATTTATTGAATTTTAAAATAAACTTTTTATCTATATATTAAGTTTTAAAACATATCATTGATGATTTAAATTATGTAGTAGACATGTAATGACTAATAATAATATTGGTGAAAATGTTCGATTTAAAAGATTATTTAAAAAAAAAATAGCAAAGAAGGTTGAAGTATTAGAAATTTCTAAATATTAGCCAAAAATAAATTAAACAAAAAAATTGTTCTAAGCTTATTGGGTTGACCCGAACCCGAAACTTTTGGCTATCCTTGAACATTTCTTGACCCGTGACCTCAAATGACCCGTGACCCGACCCGATTGACAGGTCTACATACAGTAATACTCCCGCTGTGTTTAAATATAAATGAAACATTTTCCTTTTCCGGCCGTAATTAAATAAATGAAACGTTTCCTTTTTAGTAAATTCTCTCCATTTTTTTTAATACTACGTAATATTATCTTTATTTTTAATAATATTTAACTAATTTATGGTCCCCACAAAACCCCTTGCTTTCTTCTCTATCCTCAAACTTATACCCCACTACCTATTATTTTATTTAATTCAACTAACTTTCCTAAAATTTCGTGAAAGTTAATACGTTTCCTAAAACTAATCTATTAGAATATATTATAAATGAATGTCAGTACGTTTTCTTTGCTCCAAAAAAAAATTATGATATAAAAATAAATTTATATGATTAAATATTTAATCGTTGTCTACGTGGTGCAGCATTTGGTCAAAAGTTGAAACGTCAAGTGTCGTTGTCTTGTGGTCTGGCTAAACTTATAATTTATTTTATAAATGTGAAATATTGGCATTTTATTGGAAATAAACTCTAAACCAACAATTTTATCAATTTCAAATTTTATTGAAAATAAAACTCCAAGGATTAGTTTGGCATCGTTATGATTTTCTGTTTTTTTTTTTTTTTTTAAACAAAAAACGATGTCAAACAAGTCCTTAACTAACTTTTTTATCCTACAAAATCTATCCAAGTTTTTATCCTAATAAAAAAAATACAACTTTTTTATTCATAAAAAATTTAGCCAAATAAGTCCTACATTTCTTACTAATATTTAATTGTTGCTTACGTGGCGCGACACTTGGCGTTTCACACCTGGCGAAAAGTTGAAACGCCAAGTGTCGCTGTCTCGTGGCCTGACTAAAAGTTTAGCTTTATATATTAGTTATATATATATATACTTTCTCCGTTTATTTTTAGTTGACACGTTTCTATAGTCACGTTTGCCAATGCACAAATTCAACTATTAATATCTCTAATTATCGATAAGTGAAAAATATGAAAAGTTGATATTTTGAAAATATATATCGTGACGAATCTAACAAGATCTCACACAAATATATTTTTCATTACGTATAAAGCACGAAAAACGATCAAAGGGGAGTATGTGAATAGTGTTAAAGTCAAAACGTGTCAACTAAAAAAACGGAGTTAGTATATGATATGATACTGTACATGTATTTTTTTATTATTGATACTTCGAATACTATATTAGGTAAAAAATAAAAACAAAATTTGATATTAAACATTAATACTTTAAAAATATGTTTTTTTTTTTTTTTTTTTGTATATATTGATAAAAATTTGAGTCAAAACTCAATTTTTTTTAAAGTTAGACAATGAAAATAAAATTATACATAAAATATGAATATGTTTAGTACTGTATCTAAAATAATCATCAATCATGTCACATAAAATATCAAAGTTTAGAACACATTAGATATTTTAAGATTGTTTGATATATTGAACTTAAATACTCCGTTACTATAGTTTTAGTAGTACTACTCCGTATTTACGGAGTACTAATTATAGACAAGATCACAAGAATAAAAGTGCGATATTAAATTTTAAAATAAATTTACTCATTAATTTAGTAACTATTTTTTTTTTTTTTTTTGGGTGTAGTTTTAGGAAAGTCTATTGAATGGTTATGTATACAATTGCGGTTGTATTGCACAAAAATACTCTAGGATTACATACAATAATAAAGTGATATTGGATAATATTTAAGCAAGTAGATACCTCATTACATTTTAGATCTCTAGTTCCTTTTAGAGTCTTTAGGTATATACTGTATAGTTTTACTTTTTTTTCAAAGATAGAAGCATAATTTACATGGTAAGTTATAAGCAAATGACACATATCAGTTGGAAATGAACATGACAAACATTACAGATTCATCAGTTAAAATTCCCTCAGAGAAAAATGAGATACAATTACTACATTGTATCAGCAACTTCTTTCATTACTAGAATTATGTACAGTTCAAATGGAACAAATATAAAACAATAATTATACAACCCTATACAGTTAGAACTTGGGAAAATGTGCACATTCTCAAGTCCTCCAATTGATCAGATGATATATAAACAATGAGCTCCAGCCCACAATCAAATAGATTCTTTAATTGCGATAGAGGAGATAACATATTTACATGGCATTAACAACCAGTCAAATGCAAAACGGGAAGCAACAAAAAACTCACACAGTATAATTTATATGGGAAAAAGTTGGTATGTAAAGCTCTGGAAACAAGACTAGTGTTCTTACAACCACTTGGCCCTTCTCCCACGTCAGCTTAAACGGGAAAGAGAACTTTAAGCTTTAACAAGTGTTTCGGTATGAAAACAATAGGGCCTTCGGTAGGCCCTTTTAAGGGAGAAGACTGATCTCGGACCAACTGATGAGTGGGCCGAGGGTTTCCTACACAGCAAACTAGCCTCGGGGGTAGTTGCCGAGGAAGGCCCCTCCGATGCTAAAGTCAGTTCAGTGTGTTGAGAGAGAAAAGCTATGCAAGAGAACTAATTGCTTGAGGTTATTTCTAAATGAATGATAAATGAGACAATTGATGGCTTTTATACCTTTGCTCAAAATATGAGGATTGGGCCTTGAAGTCAGATGGGCGTGCCATGCTGACTAGGCTTGATTGACTTTAACGTGCTTTAGAGAGTTGAACCTTGCTTTGGGCTTTTGTAATTAAATCATTTGGACTGGATTAAGTTGATTGAATTGGACCCAAACAACTTGCCCCCTAGACCCGATTCAGAAGGATGACGGGTCGGGTTTTGACTTGCAAAATAGAGGGAAACAAATGATTGTAATTTAAATCTGGAATTTGGATAGTTAATGACATTTGAACTGTTGTTTAAGGAGAATAATTAGGGAAGGTGGAAGGTTTAGTGGGTAGTTAACTTGGGAAAGTGTTCAACAGTTGTGATTAAGTGGAAGTAGTGGGGTTTTTGGCGGTTCGGACTCTTGGAATTCTTGATTCCAGCAAGTTTATTTAAACCGCCCTATCCACTTTCTTTTAATCACTTTTCGTGACGGATACCCTGAAATTCGCTAACACCCTTGAAAACCCAATTTCACTCTTTCCTTTATATCTTTCAATTCCGAGCTTTAAACTGAAATTCGTTGCTCCAAGCTTATTGATCGGCAAATTCCCAGTTTGATAAAGGTAATTTTCTCCGAAACTTGTTCGAATACCCTTGTTTTTCCAAGCTTTCCCCTTTTCCCGAATTTCTTGATTTTCGCACAAATATGGCTCAAGACTGACGGTCGTTGAGGAGGAGGAGGAAGTTCCTCAATTAGGGGCTCAGCGCAGCTAGCCACTTGGGCAAATACCGCCCTTGAGCCGCTGAAGCTCTCTCCCTAGAAGAGAGGATAGGGCTATGGCTGAAGACGCCCCCATTGCTGCGATACCACTGGCTTCGGTGCCTTACCGAGGCTGGGAAGAGGCGAGCACATCCAGCAGTGGCTCAGCGCATGGGCCTCGGCGTCTACCTTCTGAGGCCACTGAATGGCATAACCCGCCCGAGAACTTTGGGCTGATGAACGCTGCTTCGTATGACTGGTGGGTCAATGGGAATGCCCTCCATCACTTCGGTGAGAAAATCGAAATTCTACGACATAATGGAGGAAGACGAGTATTGGTGTCAAATGCCCGTGGCCGAGGTTAGGATTCATAGGCCCCCACCTGGTTACATCGGCGTGTACACCAGGCAACTTCAATTTGGACTTAAATTTCCTTTGCATCCATTCATTGTACAGGTGCTAAATGGGTACAACATTTCGTTGTGCCAATTAACCCCGGTCAGCATCCGAAAAGCCATGACATTTCTTTGGGTCTGTCTCTTCTACGGATTTGAGCCGAGCATTCATGTTTTCCGCAAACTACATAAGCTGATGCCGAATCAGCAATCGGATGAGCACCATTGCCCTGGATGGTGGAGAATTGAGACCCCAAATGGGGTACTTAACCACTTGGCCGAATGACATGTCCGATAAAGGTTGGCGAGGCCAATGGATATGGATTCGGGCTCCTGTAGAGGAGGATCACCCGAATTACTATGGAGGGCCGAGGCATCTGAGAATGCCAGATCCGAAGATGAAAGCCACCGGCCTAGATGATCTCAAATCCGAAGAGACGGAGTTGTTGACTCTCTTCGGAAAAAAGAAGAACCTAGGGGGCACTGGCCGAATGACCTTTGTGCCAGAGACTTGGCTACCCTGTTATCACTATATCTTCAAGGAGAAGATACTAGCTGCTGTCGGCCTCAGCCGAAAGTACCAAAATGGTAAAAAGCTCGGCTGGGGCCGAAGGCCTTTGCTTTTCTTTTTTATTTTTCATTCTGCTTTTGTTTGCTTCTTCTTCATGCAGAATAACCTTTTTTCTTTCGGTTTTTCAATGCTGCACGAAGGGAATTGCGGCTTTGAATATAAGAGACTTGGCATTAACGCTGCTCGGCGAGTGACGAGGAACGCCCTGACCATAATCGATCCTTCAGCTAGGGCCCCTGCACTACGTCCGTCAACGCTTGAAGAGGGACCCATTTTTCTTGTTGGGTCCTGAAGAACAAGCAGTTGTTGTTGCTGCTGCTGCTAGCGTAAGGGCTGGAATTTTTGCAAGAAATCCCGAGCAAGTGCCTAGCCGCAAACTTTCGTTGCTAAACCCGACATGCTCAGCA